CAATCAGCTGCCTCCAGCTGGGCATATGCTCCAACTGGGAATCCAACCATGACTTCCTGGTTCATAGATCAATGCTCAACCACTGAGCCACTGCGGCCAGGCCAGCTCTGCTTTTCTTGTGTGTGTGTGTGTGTGTGTGTGTGTGTGTGTGTGTGTGTGTGTTATGTGTGTTGGCTTCACTCTCAGACAAACCATTCTCCAAGCTCTTAGTCTAGCCTCACCTCTCTTCTTTATGCCCACAAATGTCCTGGAATTGAGCTTCATTAGTCTGGGTTGGATTATGTTTCTATGCCCAAACTAATCACGTATACAAGGGGGTCGGTGCTCTGATTTACAGGCCATGGTCACATACCATCCCCTTGGACAAGAGGTACTGTCAGATAAATTACATGAACTGTGGGTGGGAGAGATGGTTTCCAAATATACTGTGTTCTCTTACCAATCACAGTGGGAATGGATTCTGTGCAGGCAGAATTGGTAAATCAGACCTGTGTAGAGGGAAGCATCAGCCATCCTCTTGATTGGAATACCCTGTATGAGGAGCGAATTTTAATATCTTCTAAAGCTGGTGCTCCCTTTTTGTATAAACAAATAAAATATAAACTGTTGGATGTTTAATGATTTTCCCAATGTGTATAACTTTATATCCCGATCCCAGTAAATTCATTATTTCAATGAGGATTTGGCATCTATAATTTCTATCTGAATGATTTAAAGAACAAAGTCTAGCCTTTGTTTCTTTGTTATTAATTAAAAGGTAAAAAGTAAAATTTTAATAACTTTTCCAGCTTGCTGTGGACTGTACCCCTTGAATTCTTCTCCCTTCTCCCAGGGTTTTTCAATTGAGTAGTTATATATCTATAAAAATAATTACTGCAGTTACATAGCTACATGCTGAAAGCATAGTGTTACCTGCAGGTCCACTGAGTAATCATTTCTGAAAGCTGCAAAGCACATAAAGTGAATTTTCCTCTTGGGTGTGGGGTGTCTACATATGTAGCTTAGGAAATGCAAAGCCAGCTACAAGGTATTTCTCCTTCCTCATAGCAAAAGCAATTAGTATGCTAAGAAGCACATGTCCTTCTAGGTCATTTCAGTTGCAAAATTTTGCATGAAAAGCTGTCTTTTAAAGATAAACAGGGCTTTCTTGTGAAAAGAGACAGCAACAAATCACTTTCGTTTCTGATATAAACACAGACTTGGAAGTTATAAAAGCAACACAATTCATAACATCTCTGAATCCATTGGATGTCATTTGTACTGAGATATATTTTTTCAAGTAACTATAAATTGATATCCATCTTAGAAGATGTGATTGTGAAACACCATTGTAAAAATGCAACATATTTAGGCTACAATTATGTAGGACACCTGGGTTAATGAATATGCTGGCAAAGCCGGCAAAGCATGCTGTTTAGAAAAAGAATAGATACCTTTATTGTTTTGTCTCTTCATGATTTCCAAGAAAAGGCAAGGCCAAATCAATTTATTGCTGTGCTTTTATTATAAAGACACATAGAAAGCCAAGTAGCAAGGCCTTGGCACCTTAACACTTATTCTGGATCTTAGACGTTCCAGCGGGCGTAGATGGTCTCATGGAGAAGCGGAACCTACCCTCAGCAGTATTCTAAGAATTAGGTCTGAACGCCCGTAGCCTGTTTCTTCCTGTGCACCTGCACTTCATATTTCCCAGAGAGAGAGGATCTGGGTAATGGGCCACTTCGGAGAGCAATGACTTTCCTCTTGTCCATTCTTCTCAAAGTGACTTTGGCTTAGGCAGTCTTCACTGGTTTCACCAAAGAACGTAGGGGTGTTTTATTGATGCTGTGCATGTGACATGAGCAAATTCAGGAGGAATCACTTGGAACTGCTTTCTTGCAAGAAGCAAACTGTGCAAAGTTTTAAGCTCTGGCATAAAACTGAACTTCTCTCAAAATTACTCAACTCTTTTACAAAATGGCAGTTCACTAAGATGTGATTGGGAAACGCCATTTTAAAAGTGCAACATTTAAACAGTCATTAGGGTAGGCTAGGTTATGTTGTGGCAAGAAATAATACCCACATTTTAGTGGCTTAATGCAACAGAGTTAGTTCTTGCTCATCTAATCTGATGTGAATTGGTGATGACTCCACATGAAGCCAGCATGAGTCAATCTTGTAGCTTCCGGGGAAAGAAAGAGCTTAGCAAACTCTTCACACCCATTCTTAAGTATTTGGAGCAGCACCCATCAATTCCATACATGGTTCCTTGTCCAGAGCTGGTCACACAGCCCTGCTTCCTTCAGGTGCATTGGGAATTGGGGGGAAGCATATCCAGTGAGTATGCAGTTTTTCTGTCAGTTTACTTATCTGTAAAATGGGCACGCTCACAATAATGCAGAGGATTATTACAAATTAGTGCTATGTAGTAATTTAGGACCACTGTAAAACAAATGAAATCATAAATCTACTTTGCTTAGCATATGTTTGTCATATAGCAAGTACTAAGGAGGTAATAGCCTCATTGTTTCTGTCCTCTCAGAAAAAGGAACTATAGGTAGGCAGGTACTTAGAGTTTCATAGATTCTTTCTATAGTTCTATATGATAGCTTTTAAGATCACTTCAAAAGATTGTCCTGAACTTCAGATACTTTTTTTCTTTCCCTTTTTTCCCCTGGTGATTCAACTGTAATCCCATTGAGTGGGATTTCGACAATAGCTTGAAACATTTCAGCATTTGATTCTGTCACAATAACACAGGATATTTTTAATTCAATATGGAGTTTAGTTCTGCAGGTTCCCGTGTGTTAAGATCAGCTTTAGCTATTGGGGGTCAGGGTACATTTAATCAAAGTTCCATGCTCTTTCCATAGTTTTAAGGGGGCTCTATTCAAATCTATTCAGGACAACATGTTTATTTTGTGATAATAATTGTATTATAAGAGCTACAAGAATGACTCAGATACATCTTAGGCTTCAAAAGCTTAAACTACTGATGAATAGGTAGAGCAAACATATGCATAATCATAACACATGTAAATTGACCTCTAGGTGTCAGCAGGAAGATATTATAACCAGTCAGGCAGCCAGGAAGGCAACCTGAAAGGTTTTGAGATAACGTCAGTGGGCATGGAGGATTTGAGAACACGGATATGAGAAAAAAGGCAAAATAGAGCGAAAGGAAAACATGAGCAAGAACAGAGCAGGCCCTAATCTATAAGCAAAGAATGTTCTGAAGAACAATTTTTAAAAATCAAGCTCATGGAATAGGGAGCATTAAAGGCTATAATCATGATTTTTCTGTCAGTTTTCTTAATGTTAAATGGGAAATAAATAATTCTTAACCTGCTAAGTAAAGTGGATCTGCCGAAGGTTTATTTGTTTTTTCTACATTATAACCAGGTTTCACCTACATAAAATTTGTCATATATTCTCTAGTCACTAGAAGATTTTTCCTGCATTGGGCATCTGTTCCAATATAAAAATATGAAACTTTTTATCTTTAAAAACCTGTTTGACCTTGTGCTACCACCTTTCTTCTAAAATACTTTTTCAATTAAATTTCAATCCTTTCTAAACCCGATAAAAGAGATGAAACAATGTTCAATATAGATGGTAATAGCTGATATGTATATAAGTTAATGGAATTGATCTTCACTTTCCATTCTTAGACTTTTGGAAGTTTTGAAGGTGTGAGAAAAATATAAAATGGAGAAGGATTTAAACAATTTGTCAAGGTTTTCCAAGTAGAAGTTAAAGCTCTTTAAATAAATGAATTGAAGGCTTGATTCTTTTGCATGTATAAGTACATTTCCAAGAAGATTGCTTTACTTATTGGAAATATCTGATAGAACTATGTGGTTAGTACATTCAGTCTTTGTATTCAGAAAAATAAGAAGATTAATGGAACATGACAATAGTTTGAAATTATATTTGAATGATGAAGTTGATATGATTAAATTTTAAAGAGGAATATTATTAGAAACATTTTTGTTAGAACTGGAGAAATGATAATATAGAAAGAACACTTTTCAAAATAACTATTTAATTACAAATATGCATATATATAAATTTTATTTATATAAATATAATTAAGTACTTAATTATAAATGTGCTCTTCTTTGTCATCAAGCCACTGGGAAGATACCAGTTATAAATTTAAATAGTATTTAGCTTTTTAAAATAGTTCTAGTTGAATAAATTTTTTAATTAACTTCTGACAGCAGTATCCTGCAACAAACAATAGAGCTTGTGTTTTAAAATAAGTAATAACATAAATTATAAAAAGAAGTCTTGTTATATTTGCATCTGCCAAAAAACAGAGCAACATAGGGTAAATATTGTTTTTTTTAAAATCTGTTTACTTGTTCATAGGTGCCTGGAGTGAGTAAGTGCTCAGATGAAAACATTATACCTAAATGTGTCAGGCTTCACACATTGATATGATGCTGTAGGAACATAAGCAAATATAATGAGGATTTTTTTCCTCTCATTTTTTGTAGTGAAATATTTTCTGCTGTTCATTGGCAGTGGCCTATAACAAACTTGTGTTTTTGGCTTCATTGCAGTTCAAAACTAGAACTAGTGATTTCTTTGGTGCCAGGTAAAGCCATCTTCCTTAGAAACATCATTCTCTTGCCATTTTTTGCAAAAGTATGTCAGAGAATTGAAAAGATTCTCAGCTTTCCTGGATATGCAAAAGAATTTCTACTATTTTGAGCTAAACAACATGAAGTTCAATTTGTACTCAGTGTAAATGCAAAACTAAAGATGGTGTTATTGATAGATATCAACTGGCTATATATTACTAGGGAATATCTATGGAATGTTTTATTATGATTGACTTCATGATCATAATTTATAAAACTCTTTACCAAATTTAGGGTATATTTACAATCTGAGATGTATTATATTAATAATTGTCAACCTGAGATCAATGCAAACATTATTTTTTTTCTAAAAGCGATTGTGTAATGAGAAAGGGTATTTCTATCTTTTTGTTTGTTTGTTTGGTTCTATAGTGAGGAAATCCAAGCTTCTCAGAATAGAGACGTGACTTCCCAGAATGGAGCTTTGGAGATAGAGGAAGCCTGAAGAATAAAAGGTAATTGCAAGGGGATGCCCTCAAAGCTATGAACTATTTGGTGAGTTTAAGATGTATAGTTTCAAAGCCAGGATAAAAAAAAATAGAATAAGGACCCACAATTTCCAAGTCTTTCTCCAAGGTCATCTTCCAAGGCTTACATCTTTTTGTATCATGTTTGATAATATTTTTAATAATAACAGCCACATAAAGTATGTTTTACCTACCTGATTTCTGATTCTTGAAACAATATATATTAAGTTGAATAATAATTCCTCCATTATTTTCATGCATAATCAGTTCTTTTTCTAGAAACTGTTTTCTATCATTGAGTTGTAGGTCAGTTCTTCCTCAGTGTCATACAGTTTCAATTACCATCACCCTATATAATAAAAGAAAGATGTGCAAATTAATCGTCCCTCCATTA